AGCTTGCAGTACATTGAACCGTTTGTAGTCGAGTTAGCTGGAATGGTTTTATTTCACAAAATGCGGTAACATCACAGTTTTAGAACAACAGATAAAAAAAAACAGAATTTCATTTAATGCTGCCGCTCCCTCCATTGTCCCGAGCACGGAAGCAGCGCTGCCCCGCTGAATTTCCAGCGACAATCGTTGACGGAGGTACTCATGGGAGCGAGGCTCACCCGTATGTTGTTGAAGTCGCTTGCCAATTTCTTTCACTAAACGGCTAGCTGACTTTCCCCATGGTCCAAGAGTTTCAAATGCCAGCGGTACGAAGATGTATCTGCCCTGCAGGTACAAATACAATCCCGCTTTTCTATCTTCCGCCTGAGTGGCGGCGGATCCCGCAGTAACTGAAGTGGACTTCCGATGAGACACAGCGACAGTATCCACGCAGGTCACGTCCCATGCCAGACACATGCCGCGTTGCCACGCAAACGTGGTGCACCCGTCCGGTCGACGATCTGACGTATGAGAAGTACCTCGCGGCTCCAGTTTTGCGGGGATACCGGCTGAAACTAACGCCCTGCACAACATGCTGTTCAAGCCGCCGTGGCGTGCATGCCTTCCCGCAGAAAAAGCACAGGACAAGCCGTGATGGCCGTACACATCTACGGGCTTGTGGCATTTGGAACATGAATGAGCTTCACAGATATCCACACCCAGTCTCAGGCCGACTGATATCTTTACGGTGTCGTCGTCCTAGAGGTTACCGATGTGTGCCGAGGGCAAGGCATTCAACCATATGCCAGCTTCCGGTGTCGACTGTGCGAGGAGACGGGCCCGGTTAATCTCATCGTCGCGGAAAATGTCCAGCAGTATGGATAGTGATATGTTACACAGTGGAAGGTCCCATGAACGTTGTGCCTTTCTCACGTTAGGCTCAGGAAGTTCAGTCAGTCGCGCCTTTGCTTTCCACAACTCGAAAGCGGCCGAGACATTTATAGCGGGGTTATCAGGAAGCAGTAAGTAATGACATTAGGCCGGATACGGAGTGAATCGAAGCAAAAAAGGCTGGGAGCGCTAATTCTTCCGTCCGACGAATGCCAATACCGCCCCTGCTCACTGGAAGTGTCGCCTGACGCCAACACGGATAGTCGTCGTGGCTGGTCCGTACGTTGCATAGGGACTGAAAACATAACTGCATTGCTTCGTCCAGTTGATAAAGTTGTTGCGGTTGCTTCCAGGCATTGCAGCAACCCAGCATATAAATAATTTTCGGTGCTCCTAAACAGTTTTTCAGGAGAAAAAGGGCGTGGTGACGTGGCAAAGCTCCAACCGATCACACGCTATTTTCACTGTTGCGCACTTTTCGGCTACAGCTGGACCGATTGTATCGTCCAAAACTGGTGCCCCTAACAAAAAGAAGTCGGCGTTTGTTAAGATGCGCAGTTTCGGGTACAACTCCTGGAAATAAGTCACAGCGTCGTTCCGGGCTTGTTCGGTCCCGCCAGAGATGTGTAGCTCGCACTTCGCCTCGTTCACTTCTAGGCCGATTTCACGGGCTTTCCGAATAATTTCTACAAAGACGAGTGCTACTGTCGCTGGTTTACCGCCCACAGTTCCGTCGTCCAAGAACCAGGCGTTTAAATCAGCCTTCAAAGATGCCAAGAGAGGTTGGAGTGCAAGACAAAACAGTAAGGGGCCCAGTGGATCGCCTTGCTGTACTCCAGACTCTGAAGACATCATCAACTGTTCGATAAACAAAGAAGAACGATTACCGTATGCCGAGTGAAGAAAGGCTCTGTACTCGGGTAGGTGACGATCCGCGGCGGCTAAAATGGCTTCTCTAGAGATAGTGTTGAAAGCGTTCTTCAAATCGACTTTCAAGACCGCGGTTAGCTCCGCTACGGACGATTCCACGAATGTTCTTGTTGCATGGACAATTGCTTCAACACCACCACGCTCGTTGAAGCCAAGCTGCTGGGGCGACAAATCGGAAGTAATGCGGTCGGCTACGCGATGACATATGATTTTTGCTGTCAGCCGGATAAAGTTAGTCCAACCGCAATCGGGCGCAGGCCGCCGTCTTTTTTTCTCAGGGCAAGCAGTTTACCACCAAAGAATACTGGCCGAATCTCCTCTGGGATACTTCCAGTCAGTGCCAAATTCAAAACATTTGCCAGCGCTTCACAAAGTGGCTTACATTCATCGTTGAATTTATGGCCGACCATGTCGAGAAGATGTTGTGGACGTAAGCCATCCGGCCCCGTTGCCGAACCACGGGGGAAGGTGTGAACTGCGGAAAACACTTCTGAAGCTGATATAGGTGGCGCTGCAGCTGCCGGCGGGGCGAGCGAGGCCGTGACTGGGGGTGGAGGGCATTCAGGATGCTTCTCTCGTAGCTCCTGTAGTACAGCGGGAGAAAGGGCTACAACAGCATCAGTTGAAAGAATTAACCGCATGGCACCAGAAATGCTACCGTCGTCAATTTTCTGCCCGACGCGACGAACAAGGTCCTCCTGGTCTGATTTCTTCTTGGGGGCAGGCGGGGGCGGCGTCGGGGGTAGTTCGGTTCCGCGATCGTAGGCGCCCACATTTCGCTTCACAACTGTAGCCAAAGATTCTGTACGGTCAGATTTGGCTTTGGGAGGAGCACGGAGAGCGGTAGGGGCGAAGGAGAACAGCTTCCCCCAGGAGGGCTTGTCGTTCTTGCTGGCGACCTGCTGCAGCGCTGTCCTGAGTGAATCCCTCGCCGTAGTGCGAGCTCCATGTGGGATCCGCCGCATTACTCGCTCCTTCGATGGCCTAAAACTTTTCGGCGGGGGTGGTGTTGGAGCTGCTCCTGTAGCATTATCAGCGGTGCCAGGAGAAGCAGGTGAAGGCCCGCAATCAGCTGGGCGCAAGGGACACTTCTTCTTATGTCTGGTGAGGCCTCCCCCTCTGCAATACAGTTTCTTGCAATACGGGCAGGGAACTTTGTCGTTGTTCATTCTGAAAAGGCCTAACGGGGAGCGACTAACCTGATCAGTGCAGGAACGGGCAGGATACTTGAAGGACCGGGTCGCTGCAAGCAGCGAAACACGAAGCGTGCAAACGGGTCCCCTTCTGCGGCGCAGCCCCCGAGCACGTTTACATCCTTCAAGCCACCCTTCAGACCAAGAGGGTTCCTATCCCAGTTTGGTCGGCGTAGGGAAATTGAACGCCAAAATATGACAATGAAGGACGATAAGGGAGGATAATATTGTCCAAATCAATGGCGAAAGTCCAAGTTTGCCAGTTCAATTACCAGTTTTACCTACTTTGTACGAGGGCCCTTTCATAAGTTTTCGCCTTTGATACGAACCAAAATTAATAAAATTATGATCTGATTTTTCAAAAACTGTAGCATTCATAACTAGATCATAGGGCAATGGCCGAGGTGATACCTCCCACGGCTGGCGACTGGCATCCGTTCGTGCAAAGGCACCCAGGCTCAAAATGCCTCGAGTCAATAATGAGTTAACATTTTACCGACCGCGGATTTTCCTTACATATTTCAAGAAATTGCTAGAAAAGAACACTGGAGTTTTATTTCTTGGCGAATTATTTATTCTTTTCCTTGATTCATTGCCATCACGTTCTAACGTTTGTGGACTGGTTAAGCTATTTCGAGCTGGGCAATCTTCTGTGACGTAGACCAGGGAATTGAGGAACCATACTTTAATGTTTACATCTAGACAACGTCTCTTCTAAAACAGCCACGCACAATAATAATCTCGTTAAATCATGAAAGCAATAGTAGAGGGACTAAACATTTAGGAAGCAATGGTTTCGAGGAATCGCTGCAGCTCCTCGCAGATAAGCTTGGAGAAGATTGACTTTGACACGGTATAGCCTCCGCACGGGGCAACCCCAAGATAGCACGCACCTACACTTTTCGTCCTATCGCTCATTTGTTTTGCAACATCACGCAAGAATATCTTGACGCAGCCATTTTATCAACATAGCCTAACCTTCTACTAGTTTAAAATAATTTTCACTTTAAATGCAATATGAGATGTCTAAGAGCAAAAAGCATAACAAGAAGAGAAACAGAATTTTTATGGGTCGATCTCCTCTTTACCGCGTCATTTTTCTCTGAATTCGTTTCAAGAATTGGGGAGCAGATGCCTGCAGAGCAGACAGAGTAGAGAAGTAGATTTTATGGATTCGAAAAAGTAAATTTGATTTAGTTCAAAACCGTGCAGCAAAGACTAAAACTTATGAAAGGGCCCTCGTATAATTATCTAACAATAAGTCGTAGTCTGAATGTGAGCAACGAAATAAACTGCAACTTCTTATTAGCTGATATCACTAGTGACTAACAAGTCAATACAGTGCAGTAATACGATTACCGTTTACATACAGAGATGTACGTGTCGTTACTCATTAGCAATAGCGTAGGAGATTATTAATTTTTGTAGGTAAAATTTTACTTTACTTCTGATTTGAATGTTTAGCTTAATTGCGTTTAAATTTTCGAACGTAAAAGGCAAACGTTTAAACTTTAAAGCGTGTCCAGTTGTCATTTCTAAAGATTTTTGTAAAACCTACTGTAAAAAATTACACATAGTAATCTGGCAGCTATTTCCGTTATGAAATTTGTGCAGTTGCTGCTGCAATAGTTGCGCAATGTAAATCTGTTGAAATTGCTACAAACGAAAACTGAAAAAACCGGGAAATTTTGTTTTGTTATGTTCAGTTTTGACTTTTGTAAGCATGGAAACTTCTTGCGAGCTATGCCGCCGTATGGGTTTCAAACCCCATGTTAAACAATTTGATAGTTTCACAGGCAAGTAAAGCCGGGCGACACGACACGAGCGGATCTCGCGGAACACCAAGCGAGACATTCTGCGGAGTGCTTCGTAATTCCGTGGTGCACAGTTACTGTTTCCTAGATTGGCAAAAGTCGAAAATTAGATTTGCTTTTATTGTTTTCGGAAATGCACTTTCAACCCACAACTAAACGTGGAAAACTGAAAGCTAAAAAGTAAAGTCGACTACTTCGTCAAAAACTTCAAAACCTTTCGTTTGGTTCACGACCGTTTGAAGTAACTCAAGTAAGTAGCAGCATGTTTGAGACATTTACGAAATAAATACTTTAGAAATAACTTGAAAAATGAAAATGAATGTACAGTACAGAAATATTTTGAAAACAAGCGAGGGTGGTGAAAGCAAATCCAAATATCAAGCGAAGGAAATTTTGACTTGGACAGTTGGGCCAGGCAGTAATGAACGGAGGGAAAAGCAGTACGAGCACCGAAAGTTTCAAAGTTTTTTGGTGCAGAGAAATACGAGTACGATTGCAAGGCAACGAAAAGTGGTGAACGGAGTAGTCGAGTTATTTTTAATTTATTTTCAAATGTTCTAAAACATGCGACCACTGCTGAATACGTTCATAGTACTATTAACGAAAAATATGAGTACAGTATGTGTTGTACGAGTAGGTCTCCATAGTTCGTACTTCGGTATCAGCCGCTAATTTACTCCGCGCAATTTGCGCGGGGTCCACTAGTTCACTCATAATTTCACTCGAGCCAATAGGTAGCACTTGGCAACAACACCGTCAGATTCGACAAACATTCGCGGCCGGCACTAGCAATGTCAGTGTCTGCATCATCAAACGTTTTTGGGCAAATACGTTAAAGGCGTCTCTTTTGACGTCCTCCAGACATGTCGGGGGCTCTTCGTTCCACCTGTAAAGTAAAAAACCCTCTTAAGCACTTCCATATTACTATTTTACCGCACAATACTAGTGCACTTCTAGCCTCGCATTCTCACAGTTGATATGAGAGCAGAATAAATGGCCAAATACATTTCTCGACCTCCATATCTTCATTTGTTAATGAATCCAGCCAGTTCACAAAAGATTCGATTTCGTTTTTCTCCAAAATAGGACAACATTCCTCGAGCGCCGACTGGAAAGCTGGTTCGAATGCGGAAGTAGACGATTTAGTAAAGTGATGCTGCCATCGTAAAATGCGGATAGCAAAGGGATCATGACAACATTTAAGGTCCAGTCGTTCGCAAGGACAGAAAAAGCCTGATTCACCGTCTTCTATTGACAAAACTCCCGCAAAACATATAGCGAGCTCGCTACTGAAGTAGCAGTTCTTCAACATAATGTGGTGACAAATGGTATCGTAGTCCGGGTAATCTGATGCGGAGAAATTGTTACGTCTAATAACAATAAAATCTTCGATGTGTAGCATGGGAAGCGGCTTCGGAAATATCAAAAATTCGTTAAACGAAAGCACAAAATCGTCAACAATGACAAGCCAGTCGAGTTTAACGTGCATGACCTTTAGGATAGCAGTCAGTGGGCTCAAGCTTTTCTCCCAGTTGCCAGTAATATACAACACTTTTGCCTCACAGGTGACACAATTTCCAATAATCTGAGCCAGCTGAAAATTATTTGGGCAGGCTATGCACAAACCCGCAGGCTTAGCGGCATGTTTACTTTGCCACGGCAGTATTACACACTGCCGCACAGTAGGCTCAAATAGCAGATGCTGAAACCAGCGGCATGTTCTAAAAAACAAAGTATTACTTTAAAGGCGATGGCGATCGGTAGATGTACCGATCGCGTAATGCGCAGGCAAAATATACGTGATATGTAAGCACATTCTAGAATGTACTCGTAATTCTCATATCACGTTTATTTTGCCTGCGCATCACACTTATTTAGCTTTCGACTAATAGATGACGTTCCAGTATAACAGTAACCATCATTCATTTTAAAATCAATTGCATGTATTAACGACCATCGCCCACGACTCACGAAAACCAGTCTAGAAGTAACAGGTCTCATTTCTTACACCAGTGCACATCAGTGTCCACTTTTTAATATGACATCGCGCAGCAACTGCCTAACGAATGTTAAGTAATAATTACCGGGTGGCTAAATAAAATGGTGGTCAGATTGACAGTAAGACAGTCCACTAAGTGATTTTACGTCATCTTAGTTTCATTTGAAAGAACGATCTCTGCAGCATAGAAGAAGTTAGTAAGCCAACATTATACTAAGGCTTTTATATGAGTTGTTTCGAAAAAACTGGTGGATTTGGAGGTAGTCCTGGGAGCAAAAACTCGAAATTACCACTTCTCAATTAAAAATTGGGACTCCTCAGCTGTGTAGATTTATGTGTCTTGCGTTACTGTTTCGCTCAAACCCCATGGGTATTTTTTGTTGTTTTTTATTGCTAAGAACGGCGATATCATGGTGATCGTGTTTGGCTCATAAATGGGAAACTGAGATGTACGCGTAAGTCTCATGAAATCTGCAAACAAAGCTTTTCAAACGAAGTTTGTGACCAACGGTTTTGAGACTTAAAAGGGTAAACATGTTTTCTCAAGAGCAATGCCTCTGCCACATCCAAATTAAAACCGGCAATTTTTTTAGAGTTGGTCGTGCAGCCAAAAAATATAATGAAAATTCTTTTAAAAATTAAATAAGAACCCGACATGTTTTGGGAAAGTGATATAGTGCGCTATACCACATCTCCAGTGCATGCAAAATGTGGACAACTGTTTTTCTGTCGAAAGAAGAAGTCTTCCTTAAGTAAAACATTTAAAAAAGTCAAATAGTCCATACGGAAAGGAATGCCACTAAATCTAAATTTTGCGAGCTAGGACATGAAAAAGCACGATGTCAGTTGCCAATGACTAACTTGCCACCGTTGCAAATGACCAAAACTTAACATTTAAAAAAACATTCAGTTATTTTAGATAGCTATTGAACTTGTCAATCGAACAAGTCTAAACAAACAATCGTGTGACAAGTTGTCAGCGAGATCAAAACCAGAATCAAAACAAAACGTCGAGAGCAAAACCAGAAAACCAGAACAAAACTATTTTGTTCAGCCACCCAGTGTTCAAGGTTGTACAGTGGTCTATTGTACTTACCTGCGCAGCCGGTGTTGATCGTACACATTCAAATATGCAAATACCGACACATGTAGTTCCTTGTATAGACCAAGGAAACGATTTTCAGAGGGATCATCCAAGGCTGTAAAGGTTTATAACAAATTGTGTGTATGATTAATGATAATCCACAATGTTTTGTTAATGTCATGCACCAAATGTAGACTTTTGTTGAAAGGTCGCAGAAAACAAACCACGGAAACTTTAAGTACTTTCACGACGGGAAATTGCTATTTCTGACAATAAACCCTAATTTGATTACCTTGTTGGGCTACAGTGATGCAGAGAATTTCTTCTACAATCGAGCGCGCTGTAAATTCTGCCGCTAGCACCGATTTTTTCGAATACCAATAAATGGCGCGCAAAACGCTGGTAGCAATTTCGTCATTCGTTACGTCGGTTTCAGTGTTCTCCGCAACCAGTACAGCGACCCGATCATTCTCGACACCCAAGAACATTATTTCCCCGGTTTGCATCAAAAACAGACTACGAAATTGAGGTATCCATTGTATGGTGGTCAACGTGGCAGTAAGACCTGCAGAACGCAAGCGGAGGCTGTCCACTGGGATTGTGGCATGACGAAATGACAGTTTTGTTACAGGCGGTCCGAGATGCCCGCGGCGACGGATACGCCGAAAGGCGGCACCAGGACCATCCAACACCAGATAGCGCTGCACAGAGTCATCGGATAGATTAACTTCTACGTTTGCTAGCAAATAACCGTCCCCCTCAACGCCGCCGACAATGCGTCCTGCTTGCCAAGATTCGGGTCGATTTTGTTGTACAGTGACAAGGACATCAATCTCTTCCGTAAAAGTTTCTGGATGAAAGACTAAACTTCCGTCCACTAAACGTAGTTGTTCTATGGATACCACCTGTAATTGCTGCATCGAGCCAACTCGCACCATACACAGACGCTGACCGTTTTCCATGCCACAGATGTAGCCACGATAGGTCGCATCCGACTCAAGAATATCAACAGCAAAACTATTATAAGCACCTGTAATAAGTGGCTCTTTGAGAACTCGCCAAGGTAATAAGTTCTCCATCCCGACTTTCCAGTGTTTAAATGCAATCACTTTGCTTTAAATACAGCAGGATGTAGAAGACGATCATTGGTTCCAGAAAATAATATACCGCCGGTCGCCGGAGTACCTAATACATTTTAGTAAAGTTCAGAAAGAAAGCCGATTTTATATACCTCAGATTTTACGTTGCGATACTGGGCAATGTGCATTTTGCTACACTTCAAGTAGGAATGCACGCAGCTAAACGCAGTTTGGCGATCGATATTCGCAGTGGTGGATCTATACGAGTCATGCACGATACCCTATTCCCTGGAAGGCATGGCTTGTGTAGTAATGCTACAGGGAATACTTATTACAATACATTGTTGCTTACCGCCTTTACGACGTGGCATATTTACGGCTGACGGTGAATAAATTCCAATTTCCAGTGATGTATTCTGCGCGACTATGTACAGATGATTTACACACACAATAATACTTCCATTATTAAGTACAAATATTCCAAGTATACACTGATATGACTCATATGAGTGCAGAAATTACAGTGGCTCACACACCAATGTACTGCAATTTATACCAGGATGTGGTAAACCAGATGTGGAAAAGATGTAGCAGAAAACGGTTATCATGGGCTTGCCAGTAAGAAGTGTACTAGTATCGGAAGAAGGGAGCGCTATAACGGTATAAACGACATCATACTGCGAGCCCTCTGCAATGCCGGAATCGAGTCGTATCCGGAGCCTGTGGGTTTTCTGCGAGAGAACGGAAAACGACCGGACTGAGCCACACGTTGGAAATGGTACCGCGGACAGGCGTTAGTGTGGGACGTGACGTGCAGAGACACGATGTGCGATTCATACATTGATGCGACTTCAAAGTGTGCTGGCGCCGCCGCCGAACTGGCTTGCCGGAAGAAGATTGGAAAATACAAGTCGCTTACTGATCGCTGCAATTTTGTCCCCTTTGCATGTGCGACTTTTGGCACTTGGTGCGAGACCGGCATTGTTACGTTAAAGGAGATTGGAAAGAAGTTGTTTTTAAGGACGGGCGAGAGCCGCTCTGCTTGTTTTTTGTTTCAGCGTTTAAGTTTGGAAATAATGCGTGGGAATGCCATGAGTGTGTTATGTACGGTCCCTTCTCGTGCCAACTGGGACAAATTTTTCATTTGAATGTATTTCTGTGAGCGATGCTCGTCTCCGTACATATTGCAAATAAAGTTTCAACTGCATCATTTATTGCTTTAATGTCATTCGCAAAGGGGCTAGAGCCCCCTCAAGGCAATAGACAAAAGGGTCAGCAGGAAAACGTGAAAACAACAATGCGCTAATTCAAGAAAATTGTTTGACCAAAAAAGGAAGGAAAATATTAATTTTTTCAAAAAGGAGATTTTCTAGGTCAAAACCAAAAAAAAAAAGTTTTCGAGTTGTGAACCATGAAATGTTCGAAAAAGTTGTAACATGAATTTTGGCAATTGCAAGCAACGGTTCACACACTGTAGTTAAATGATCAGATCAAGCGCTGTGCCTAGGTTAGAGCAAGAATTACGTGATAACCGTTTTTTTTCAGCATCTTCTGCTATTTTGGGCAAAACTTTGCCGCACACAGACAATAACTGTACGGATGTCAATTATGTTCCGTTTGCACAACGTTTGTTGTATTTATCATCTGAAGATCTGTATCTAATAATTATTTTATTTGTCGAGTACTTAATGGTTAATTAGAATTAGTTAAAACTTTCCTAGTCATAGTTGCTTGTGAGTGTTGAAGTACTGACTGCTTTTCAATGTAGTTATTCTTTTAGTCTGCGTTAATCCTCACTTTAATAAACCCGTTTCCACAAATTCGGCATTAAAAAAATAACAGCTAGCAGAGTTTTCAATTACGATATTAAGCACCTGACAGCAGATTAAAGCGCTAGCTAAAACCGATTTTCTTCCTGGAAATAAAACAGATTTTCTAGTCAGAAAAGGCATTTTTGCTCCCTGCTTTCGGCAGGAACAATTGCCCGTTAACCATCCACTCCAACCCTGGTTAGCAGCATTAAACGGGTACTGTGAGTTTGCAATGCCGTCAGAGAATAACGGAGTAATGCGCACAATTACAACGATTCACAGATGGTGCTTCTTAAAGCAAACAAATAAATATTTCTAATATGGTACGGCCGCAGCGTTGCTCTACCCAGACTTTACCTGAAACTTGAAAGACTCAATATTAGAGCTGGATGTAGTTATTTATCCTGACAATTTACAGTATGCTAGCTGTCGCCTGCCGGTAATTGTAGTAATTATTATTAGGAAGGATTACACTAGTCAACCCAGATTTAGTGGTGCACTACGGTATGAATGTCGCGTTCGACTGAAAAATCAAGTTTTATCAGTCAAGTTTTGCCGCGCGCAATGAAACAGTACATGGAATCCACAGCCGTTACGGCGCGATTATGTGAATCCTGATAAGAAGCTTTCTTTCGCATAATTAATGTACTTACGCGTACGTGCGCGCCATCAGTAATTACTAATTACTAGTATAACTTATGGTAAGCGGTGCATGTTAAAAAGCATTAATGTGCGCAACACCGTTCGAAGGTTAATTGAAGTTAGCGTTTAATCGCTAACTTGTTTTAACGATGCGAGAGAAACGCCGGCAAGAGCTACTCTCTTTCTGCACAGGACATTAAAGATTAGCCGCCGGACTTTGAGCGAACCGACGGATGCATTTTCTCCTCCTTCCTGGAATGTAGCACCAGCATGTGTGCCAGCGAATCGCCTGCCTTTCCTGTTTGCGGACGGTGTGCAAACTGCCTTTTTTGCCTACGGACTACCTAACCGTCAGTTCTATCTCATGCTGGCCTAGTTGTATTTATCGCATTGGTGTTTTTCGGCATGTGCGAGTTCTTTGCCTGTTATCCTCACTTTTCGTGTGTGTCAGAATTGGATGTTGATCATTGAAAGTTAACGTTTGCAATTTCCTGTTACCCGCCTTCCCAACCCTTTAGCAATTAACTCTGGTCTTGTTCACTTCGTTAGTTATAGCAGCACCAGTGTGAAAGTCATTAAAGGCCATTCCTCACTCGCGCTGCTCTCTCGCTATGGTACGCACAGAACCGCACCGGAAGGCAGCCGCAACATCCTGGCCACGTATCAGGATCCAGCTCACTCCCTGGCCACGAATCAGGGTATCACCTGGCCACGAATCAGGTGCCTTCGACCCCTGGCCACGAATCAGGGGGTCACCTGGCCACGGACCAGGTGGCACTGCTCGCTATTTCACGTATACGCTCCTTCCGGTGGCCGAGCATGTTCTGACGTTTTCCACGAGACTCCGCGGCCGAGCCGAGGCTGGCCATATGCCCCAAAAAACCATGTCGGCGTTTCTTGAATACATCGTTAATAATTAATAAGCACGAGCATTAAATTTAGTACCGGCATTGTACGGAATATACAGTAGACCGTACAATGAAGTACGCAGTCTTATCGTTGAACTTCTGCTAACATGCTGAGGAGCAGGAAGAAAATACATGTAATTTGCGTTTTGTGCATAATTATACGATACTTTTAATCGACCTTTTTCGCATTCTTGACACTTTTACAATGCGGATTTGTGTGCCGGACACCAGAGATATGACATCTTGCATTGTTCAACATTTGAAAACCTGATAATTTCTTATTAATCTCGTCTATACAAGCTTAATTGCATAAAATAACATTGATCCGTTTTCATATATAGAAAATATATCATTTTCTTGACAGTTGTTAACAATTGTCAAGAATTGGCATAATTTTTGACAATTGTTATTTCAACAGAAAACTTGGGGAATGCTGTGTCTCTGGTGTCCAGAACGCGAATCGATATTGTTACAGTGCCCGGAACAAAAACGTCAAAGTACAGATTTTGTAGTCAATTAATAGCCGTATAAAAAACCTAAATACTTGATAGAATAATAAAACAAAGCCTATCTTCAGGGTACACGTACGGTCTCAGCGCACGGTATATACCGCACGTACATACAGATTGCGCTATCAATTGATGCATGGCTTTATATGGATATCAGCAGCATGTGCACTAATTAATTAATACATGACCTTTCTAAAATTAAGAAAAAAACTTATGTGCGCCAATGATACTTTTGTTTTGGTGATCATAACTTAATTATCGAAATGTTCCATTCTTTGATACGCGGCGTTTATTTGTAGCCAAATTTTCTGTAAATAAATTCCATTTATTTACAGAAAAATAAAAGAATAAGCTCCACTTATTCTCTTATTATAAAGAAAGGATGTAAGAACTGAAGAATGGTAGTACGAGTATGTTTACTGTAAACAAAAAAACTCCCTTTTTCCAGTGCGGGTGCCGGGATTCCTGTTACACTTGTTTTCGAACACTTGACAACGCAAAGACTCGTCTTCTCGTTTTGGCCAAGCAAATTCCCTCCCTTTTTTCGACCGCTCAAAATCCCTTCCTTTAGTTTTCCCTCCCTCCTTTTGACCAGTGAAAATCCCTCCCTTTCATTTTCCCTTCCTCTTTTCGACCCTGGCCAAGTACTCGTACTGCAAAGTTTTTTTTAAGTAGAGCCCTTATTTGAGTGCTCTTTACTCTGTGGTAAGCGCTGGTTGGCGATGTGCATTGCTAGCATGAGTGTCTCCGACTTTTCGCATAACTTCTCTTAAACGAGGGAGTATTCCAAAAACGTCCTTCAGTGGAATCGGGAATCTTCATTTCGGGATGGGCTTCTAAATCGGAAAGGTCACTCTATATTAATAAAATACGATAGCTTTTTTATAGTTGCATTGGCCTTCTGGCCTTTATTCGTTGGATTAGGTAGCATATATTGCCGAATGCCAAAACCTAATGAACTGCAAATTTTCCCGTACGATGCTGTTTTCTTGGCAGGTAACCTGTCAGACTTTTCACAGTCATAATGGATCCAGCTATGTAATCCCTGCATTGGCGGGAATGAACAGCACAAAATAATAATATAATGTGGCTGAAGAAGCCCGCATCAAGGTTTAGAATCTGATGTTCAGTTATGTAAGTAAATAGTGGGTCTTAACTTTCGAAGAATATGAATTTGCCGTTAGTATTAACAGCAACCGGCAAAACGCTTAGGTGCTCGAGAGTGGTGTTCCGTACCATTTTTCTCTCAATTCGCTAAACAAGTTTTGTTGTCGCAAATGTTTAAACGCTGCACGTTGCAATTGTTCGAAATCTTTGAACTTCCATGCATGC